GTTTCCATGTCTTGGCTATTGTGAAATATGTTGTAGTGAACATGGGAGCACAGATATCTCTTTGAGATAGTGATTTCATCTTCTTCAGATATATGCCCGGAAGTGGGATTGCTGGATCGCATGGTAATTGTATTTTTAATTTTTTTGAGGAATCGTCATACTGTTTTCCATAGTGACTGCACCAATTTACATTCCTACCAATAGTGCACAAGGGTTCCCTTTTCTCTACATCCTCACCAGCATTTGTTATTTCTTGTTTTTTTTCCATAATAGCCATTCTAACGTGTGAATGTGTGGTTTTGATTTGCATTGTGGTTTTGATTTGCATTCCCTGATGATGAGTGATTTGAACACCTTTCCATGTACTTGTTGGCCATTTGCATGTCTTCTTTGGAAAATGTTTATTCAAGTTCTCTGCCCATTTTTAAATAGGATTTTTTGTGTTTTTGCTATTGAGTTGTATGAGTTCCTTATATATTTTGAATATGAACCCTTTATCGGATATGTGATTTGCAAATATTTTTTCCTATTCTGTAGGTTGCCTTTTCATTTCGTCGATTGCTTCTTTTGCTGTGCAGAAGCTTTTTAGTTTGATGTAGTCCCACTTGTTGATTTTTTTTTTTTTTTTTTTTTTTGCGGTACGCGGACCTCTCACTGTTGTGGCCTCTCCCATTGCGGAGCACAGGCTCCGGACGCGCAGGCTCAGCGGCCGTGGCTCACGGGTCCAGCCACTCCACGGCATGTGGGATCTTCCCAGACTGGGGCACGAACCCGTGTCCCCTGCATTGGCAGGCGGACTCTCAACCACTGCGCCACCAGGGAAGCCCCCACTTGTTGATTTTTACTTCTTTTGCTTGTTGTTTTGGTGTCATATCCAAAAAAGGCATTGCCAAGACCAAAGTCAAGGAACTTTTCTCCTCTCCTGTGTTTTCTTCTAGGAATGTTATAGTTTCAGGCTTTAAGTCCTTAATTCATTTCAAGGTAACGTTTGTGAGTGGTGTAAGATAAGGGTCAAATTTCATCCTTTTGAATGTGGATATGCAGTTTTCCCAGCACTACTTATTGAAAAGACTGTCCTTTCCCCATTATGTATTCTTGGCTCCACTGCCAAATATTAGTTGACCATACACGTGTGAGTTTATTTCTGTGCTCGTGATTCTGCTCCATGGCCTGTTATATGTCTTTTTTTATACCAGTACCATATTGTTTTGAAATCAGGAAGTGTGATGCTTCCAGCTTTGTTCTTTCTCATCATTGCTTTGGCTTTTGGGGGTCTTTTGTGGTTCCACATGAATTTTAGGGTTTTTTGTCTATTTCTGTGAATAAATGCCATTGTAATTTTGATAGGGATTGCATTGAATCTACAGATGGCTTTCAATAGTATGGACATTTTAATGATACTAACTCTTCCAGTCCATGAACATGGGGTGTTTTTCCATTTATTTGTGTCTTCAGTTTCTTTCATCAGAATCTTATAGTTTTCAGTATATAGATATTTCACTTCCTTGGTTAAATTTATTCCTAAGTATTTTATTGTTTCTGATACTATTTTAAATGGAATTATTTTTAAAATTTCTTTTTCAGATGGTTCATTGTTACTGTATAGAAATGCAACTGAGTTTTGTATGTTGATTTTGTATCTTGAAACTTTACTGAATTCATTTATTAGGTCTTAACAGTTTTTTTGGGTGGAGTCTTTAGGATTTTCTGTACACAAGATCATGTTATCAGCAAACAGAGACAATTGTACTTCTTCCTTTCTGATTTGGGTGCCTTTTTTTTCTTATTCTTGCCTGATTGCTCTTGCCAGGGCTTCCATTACTATGTGGAATAAGAGTGGTGAGGGTGGGCACCCTTGCCTTGTTTCTGATTTTAGAGGGAAAGCTTTCAGCCTTTCACCTTTGAGTGTGTTAGCTGTGGGTGTGTCATATACGGCCTTTATTATGTTGAGATATGTTCCTTCCGTACCCAATTTGTTGAGAGTTTTTATTACGAAGGGATGCTGAATTGTGTCAAATGTCTTTTCTACATATATTGAAATGATCATATGATTTTTATCCTTTATTTTGTTAATATGGTGTATCACATTGATTTATTTGCATATGTTGAACCATTTTTATATCCCAGGGATAAATATCCCTTGATTGTGGTGTATGATCCTTTTAATGTGCTGTTGAATTTGGTTTGCTAGTATTCTGTTGAGGTTTTTGCATCTAAATTTATGAGGGTATTGGCCTGGGTTTTTTTTGTTTTTTTGTTTTTTTTTTCTTATAGTATCCTTACCTGGCTTTGATATCAGGGTAATTCTGACCTCATAAAATGAGTGTGGGAGTGTTACCATGTTTTTGTTTTTGTTGTTGTTTTGGTGTTTTTCTTTTTTTTTTTGGCAGAGCTTGAGAAGAATTGGCATTAATTCTTCTTTATTTATTATTATTTTTTGCCATTTTACGGTTTTATTAACACAAAACGTGCACACGAGCTGTGTATTCATTTTCTTTGCTGCGCAGCCTGGCGTTGGGCTTGGTGACTCTGATGGCCAGCTGGACTGCTCTCTCCACAGTGGCTTTGCGGTTCTTGGAGGAGATGTTGTGTGCAGTCTCAGCACAGTAAGATTTATTGCACATCAGCAGTTGGTCAGATTCACCCATAAAGCCATACTGTCCTGAGCTTTTATTTGTTGGAGGTTTTTGATTACTGATTTAATCTTAAATTTGTCATTGGTCTGTTCAGATTGTCTGTTTCTTCATGATTCATACGTGAAGGTTGTACGTTTCTAGGAATTTATCCATTTCTTCTGGGTTGTCTGATTAATGACCTGTAATTGTTCACAGTAGTCTCTTATGATATTTATTTCTGTGGTATCAGTTGTAATGTCTCCTCTTTCTTTATAATTTTGTTTGAGTTCTCTCTTTATCTTGGAAGTCTAGCTAAACGTCTGTTGTTTTTGTTTTATCTTTTCAAAAACACAACCCTTATTTTCATTGATCTTTTCTACTGTTTTTCTATTTCATTTATTTCTGCTCTGATTTTTATGTCCTTCCGTCTGCTAACTTTGGGCTTAGTTCTTATATTTTAGTTTCTTGAGATGTCAAATTAGGTTTTTTTTTAAGAGTTATTTATTATTTATTTTTGGCTGTGTTGGGTCTTAGTTGTGGCACGCGGGATCTTCGTTGAGGCATGCAGGATCTTTCGTTGTGGCACGTGGGCTCTTCGCTGTGGCCCGTGGCCTTCTCTTTAGTTGTGGTGTGCAGGTTTTCTCTTCTCTAGTTGTGGCACACAGGCTCCAGGGTGCGTGGGCTCTGTAGTTGTGGCGTGTGTGTTCCAGAATGCTTGGGCGCTGTAGTGTGCAGCACACAGGCTCTCTAGTTGAGGCACGCAAGCTCAGCAGTGTGGCGCGTGGGCTAGTTGCCCCGTGGCATGTGGGATCTTAGTTCCCTGACCAGGGATCTAACCCACGTCCCCTGCATTGAAAGGCAGATTCTTTACCACTGGGCCACCAGGGAAGTCCCAAGTCCGGGTTGTTTACTTGAGCTCATCCTTTTCTCTTAGTGCAGGCATTTATTGCTATAAACTTCCCTTTTAGCACTACTTTTGCTGGATCATAAGCTTTGGTATGTTGTGTTCCCATTTTTGTTTGTTTCAAGATATATGTTTTTAATTTCCCTTTTGATTTCATCTTTGACTCATTGGTTGTTCATGAGTGTTTGTTTAATTTCTATATGTTTGTGAATTTTCCGGTTTTCCTCTTGTTATTGATGTCTGGTTTCATACCATTGTGGTCAGAAAAAGATACTTGGTATGATTTCAATTTTTAAAAATTTGCTAAGACTTGTTTTGTGACCTAATATATAATCTATCCTGGAAAATGTTCCATACGTGCTTGAGAAGAATGTGTATTCTGGTGCTGTTGGATGGAATGTTCTTTATATGTCTCTTAGGTCCATTTGGCCTCAAGTATAGTTCAAATCCAATGTTTTCTTATTGATCTTCTGTCTGGATGATCTATCCATTGTTGAAAGTAGAGTATTAAAATCCCCTACTATTACTGTAATGCTATCCTCCCTTGAGATTTGTTAGCATTTACTTAATATATTTAGGTGCCCAGATGTCTTTGCTTCCAGTCATCTGCCTTCCTGGATCCGTAGCTCAGTGGAAGGAGATGAAGGACTGACTGGGCATGAGAGATGAGCCCCTTAGTTTTTTTTCCTCAGTTAAGGGAGACAAGAAAGAGAATGAGTGGGAAATGTGCAGCATATGAACAGATGGCAACCACCCCTTTTACAGAAAAATGAAAGGATAATTTAACCTTGATCATCACTAGCAGGGAAGCAAAATGGCCATAAAATACTAACATCTAGGAATTTACTGTCATAATCCTAACTCTTCCTCGAAGAGTTTCCTATTTCTTAAATTGCAGTGATAGCTCTGAAATTAAAAGGAATATTAGTTTTAGAAGCTTATTTTAACCATTTCCTAGCAGTAGTAATTGCTTTTGTCTTCATGAGAGGGCTGAGACTTTAACAACGATCCAGGCCAAGGGTTATAAAATTGCTGATCCATGTGGCTAGTTGATTAGGAAATCTCAATTACCTGACGTTTGGTAGTGGTGAAGTAGAAGCAGATACATCTTGTTGGTGATTTCACATGTCTGAGGCTCCAGGGGGTGGGTGTGTGGACTTTAGTAGTAGTAATCACTTTTGGATGAGAGAAAAACAAAAATCTCATGTAGAAATGGGGAACTTCCAGCATTGCTAGGTAGAATATTTTAAGATTGGGGCTAATGAACTGCTTTTCAATCTGAAGTCTTCAGGAACAGGCAGTCTCCTGCTTCTGCAAATACCAAGTGAAAAGCCAAACCAGTATTCTTGGATTTATAGATCCAGTTTACCAGACTGAAGGACACTTGCTCTTTGTAACTAACTGAACTAGCCGGCCCCTGCATGCTGAGTTTCTGTGGCAATATGATCTCAGTGACCTGTCTTCTCTATTGTGGAATGTAGGTGATAAGAATGGAGGTGAGCCCGATGATGCTGAACTGGTAAGGCTCAGTAAGAGGCTGGTGGAGAATGCGGTGCTCAAGGCTGTCCAGCAGTATCTGGAAGAAACACAGAACAAAAACAAGCCAGGGGATGGGAGCTCTGTGAAAACTGAAGAGGCTGATAGGAATGGCACTGACAGTGACAACCACAGGAAATGAGACCCGAAGGCAGGCAGGCCCCCGCTGCTCCGTGAGAAGCATCCCTGCTCCCCTCTGCCGGGTCAATGGACTAATTTGCATTGTGCTATTTAAGTGTCTCTTGTCCAATCTGTGGAGATTGCCTAATACTTTCATGATCGATGTGTTTGCATTCCTGAAACACAGCAGAAGAGAAATGGAGTGCTGGGACTATCAGAGGAAATTAATTCATGAAGGAAGAATGGCCCAGGTTTTACGTGCCCTCAGCCGAGGCTCTGGGAGAGAGTATTTTGCGTGATGCCTCGTGGACTCAAAGGCCATGGAAGGGGCCTTGCCGTAAACGGAATACCACCATTTATATTGCTTAGCAGGGCATCTGACTACTTTATCTGAGGCCAGAACACACACAGAGCTAGCAAGTGCTATGATTAAAATGATCACTGTTGAAATTATTATCCATGTAGCTAGTCCATAATGTTCCATGTTTGTCCTATGTGTGCTGTCGCTATGCAGTGATCTTTATTTACAGTAAGTTTGTTTCACGTAAATGATATATTTTTGGTGAAATGCAACCTTTTCTATAAAATGTGGGCAGCATTTTAAAGGTTTCTTTTTAACTCTCTTTTGATAAGTCAGTGTACCATGTGTAATGGTTTTCATTGGCATTTGTATGTAAAATGTATCATATAATTTTTTTTCCATAGGCCAGAAACCTATTGGAATCCGGGACTTAATTAATGAAGCTTTGCGTCGAGAGAGGATGGGTCTGCAGTCCAAAGTGAAACAGATAAAGGAACTTTTATTAAAGCCTGAGACTCAGGCCAAAATTAGGAGGGAGCTTTTTGAAGGAAGATTCATTAACAACAGTAATGAAGGAAATGATGTTGATTTCAGCGCAATTTTGACGTAAGCTCTACGTTGCTATCATGGTACCAGAGTTTATGAAATCTTTTCAGCTCATTAAATAGCTCTTTGGTAAATACCACAGAAGTGTTCTGATAGAGTCTGCACAATAGCAAACCAACATTGGTAAGGAGTTAACAGTTTCTTACCAAAGAAAACTGATTCTGCACTGTTATTTTTAAGCTAGACTTGTGTTTTAGAATGTTTATCTCTATAATACCGAGGTTCATTTTATAGAAAGGACTTCTTAATTAGCCATTGTGAGATGTTCGTTGGGTCCTCACAAATAAAATATACAGACTGTGGAAAATCATTTACAGACAAAAAGAAAAAACAGTATTTTAAGGGTAAGTTGTCTCCTGTTGACATGATTTTTGTTGTTAAATCAAAAGAAGCATTGTTCACATGTATCTATGCCTATTGTTACTTTTAATGAGACTTTGAATGTTTATTGATCACTAGTACTTGAATGAACATTTATAAATGTAATTATTGCAGTCACTGGTTAAGAATGTTTTATAATGTCCGTATGTATTACTTTTCAGTGATCAAAATGTAATTTGCTTTTTTTGTTTTTTTTTGTTTTTTTGCGGTACGCGGGCCTCTCACTGTTGTGGCCTCTCCCGTTGCGGAGCACAGGCTCCGGACGCGCAGGCTCAGCGGCCATGGCTCACGAGCCTAGCTGCTCCGTGGCATGTGGGATCTTCCCAGACCGGGGCACGAACCCATGTCCCCTGCATCAGCAGGCGGACTCTCAACCACTGCGCCACCAGGGAAGCCCTGCTTTTTCATTTCTTAATGAATGTTTGGGATTTTTATTTTCTACTTTTCTGAAGATAAGCCCCCGGTCTTACTGTATCCCTCATAATCTGAATTTGTTTGCACTGGTTCATTTTTAAAGAAAATTCTTGAAAAGTTTCCCTCCCATACGATAATCACTAGTAACAGCTTTTTCTGTAGTCAGTGTAAAATTGCTGCTACTAAGAGATTATGATGGAGGGGGAATTATTAGAGATCAATTATGTAATCATTTTAAAGATAAAATCCAGTTTACTCATGGATTTTAGCTATTTTTTCACTGGGTAAATTATACTACATTTATTTATAAGTGAGTTTATGCATTTTCATGCCCGTTAATAAATGTATTGTTTTCCCTTGTTGCCTTTCTTCATTTTTTTTTTTCCTCACTCTTAGAAGCTGTTGGATCTTTGTGAACATAGTGAAGTCAGAAACAGGCACTCTGATAGCTTAGTGTTTCTTAACTTTTACGTTTTTGTCCTTCATGCTAAGATAGCACAGCTGGGAGAGCACCTTTAACCTGAGACTTTTAAAGCTCTTCAAATCAGTCAGCTTCACAGAGAATTAACAACAGAACATTGAAGGCAAAGAAAATCTCAGTAGCATCTCATCAACTGCTAACAGTGGGTCACTGAAGTGATATCAGTAGCAGAGATGAAGAGAGAGGGTCCATTGAGATACAAAGACCTGGGAGCTGCTTACCAGGAGTCCCTCCTGGGGGCGGAGGGCTTTACTGTTTGTAGCCGGCTTCCTTAAGTCAACCCTCGAAGTGGGAAGCAAAGATATTTGGGGGCTTGCCTTGTCTTTTAAGTGAGGAAACAGTCATAAGGAGATCAAGTGCCGTTTCCAAGGCCATTCTGCTGCTAGGGCACAGGACCTGAACTGCAACCCAGGGCTCCTCCCAGAACCTAAGTTAATAGTATTTCAGGAAAAATAGCACTTCTTAACATACACCTATAAACCTCTTTATCCTCAAGGAGCTACTCCAACCCTTCCCAACAATTTGAAAGGCTTAAAAAAGTATCCTTTCTGCAGTCTGAGGTTACATGCCCTCCTGTTCTTTTATTTAAGAATCATACCTCCCATCTGTGAAGTACCTGGCTGTGAGCGAGGCGATTTGGGCACATTATTACATTTCTTCCCTTCAGTGAACTTGTTAGGAAGTTACTGGTTCTCTTTTACAGATTAGGAAACTGGGGCTCTAAATGGTTAAATGGGTATTTATAAAGCTAATAAAAGGTAGGGCTAAATTTAAACTTGGGTCTATTCTAGTTCAAAACCATGCTCTTTCCACAATGCGGCAGTTCCTCTCTCGACCGAGTACAAATCATTACACAAGTTAAGGATGTGGAACAAAGGGAAAGTCACTTTCTTTTGACCAGACCAGCTCCCTTGCAGCCCTGAAGTTCTATGAACATAGGAGAGTGGTCAGCTGATATGATGGAACTGGAAAAAAAAAAACCCAGATATTTAATTTAGGGATTAAAGATTCCAGTTTTGATCAGTGAAATCTTCATTTAAGCAGGTTTACAAAGACAATGGAAAGTGTACAGTAAGATAAATCTTCCTCTTGTTTCCATTTAAAAAATCTAATTAAGACATTAATTTGCAAAAATCAAAGTTTGGAATCGGAAATAATATGAAATGACTTTTTCCTCATTAGTCAAAGTCATAGAAGGATTGCTTGTTGGGTCACATAGATATACTGTGTTGTCCTAAATTGGTATAGTATGTTATGTAGGCTAGTCTCTGAGAGGGAGGCTGCGTGGTTGGTGAAAGAGCATTGGTTTGGTCCAGTGGGTGGACCTGGGCCCACCACTGACGATGATTCTGAACAAACTGATTCACTTTTTTGTATTGAAACAGTGTGGTGCCAGGTGATCTCCAAGGACCCTAGACTCTTTTTTTTTTTGCGGTACGCGGGCCCCTCACTGTTGCGGCCTCTCCCGTTGCGGAGCACAGGCTCCGGACGCGCAGGCTCAGCGGCCATGGCTCACAGGCCCAGCCGCTCCGCGGCATGTGGGATCTTCCTAGACCGGGGCACGAACCCGTGTCCCCTGCATCGGCAGGTGGACTCTCAACCACTGCGCCACCAGGGAAGCCCGACCCTAGACTCTTTGTGACTATACTTCGATGCTAGTCCTGCTGATTCCATGTCTGGGACAGCTACCCATGGGGCCTTCTTGACTGGGCTGCTGTAGTGCATCTGTTGTCTACAAGAGAATTAGAATTCTAGAAGGCTCTGTCGACGTCACATAGGGAAACCTAGTGGCACATATTGTCATTTATAACCAGATTCCCACATTTTCAGTCACTGGTAAAATAGTAGATCCTATATAAATAGTTTAAGGGATGTCAAAAAAGTAATATTTTCAACAGCAGGGCAAGATTCTGCCAGCTTTGAACTTGGTCCCATTTATACTAGATCGTTATTGTATTAACCTACTTTTCAGTCTAAACTAACTATAAGCCTTTGAGATATTCTAGATTTATAGCTAGAGCATACTTAGGATTCAAACTATTCACTCCAGAATCCCAAATGTGCTTCTCTACCTGGTCATCCCAGCAACCAGATGCTCCCGTAGGGAGGTAATTACAGTAGTTTTGACTTCACACTCTAGATGCCATTTCAGACATAAGACTAATAAGGCATGTTGGTACCTCTATACTTGATCATCAATTCATAAACTAGCTATCAGATTATATAACAAATTAAGAATTTATTTCATTATATAATCAAAGAAAACGAACCTATAGTATCTCCAAACCTAAATTGATGAATGGATAATCTATCATCATCCATTATTTTCATCACTTTCAAATAACGGTTTTATCATTGAACATTGTGGGTGCATTCCTGAATAACAGGTTTTCCAGGTAGTCATATAAAAAATAAATAAACCCAGTGTACTTTAAAAAGAAGTTTCCAAGCCCCTACATGAGTTTGATGGCAGTACACATTCTTAACAAGACAAACCCCTGGATTATTCATTCACAGTAAAAATGAATATTAGTGTAACCCACCCTGAGTCAGTGAATTTAAAATTCTGATACTAGCTAGAGCATTTCTTTCCTGGATCACTATTTTGGGGATAAGAAAGCTTGTTTACAAAGTAATTTGAGAGCAGATGGAAGGTGCTATTATCAGCTCTAGTATAATATCCTCAAAACTACTTATTTGCATTCATTAAATGTAACTGATAAATTCAGGCAATTTGGGATTATTTTAAAATGTAAACTGCAATACTTATTCCCCTGTGTAGTCCACAATTAGTTACTCATTGGAAGGCCATGAAGTTCTGTTATAGCATCAAAGATAGGAATAATTAAACTGAGAAATCGATTCATTGTTTCTGGGAAACTTATGTTGCTTTCCCTTTAGTGGTTCAAGTGACTTCTGAAAAGCCACTGTTCTGTGGCACTGCCCTATATATTTATGTGTAAAATTCTTTGACCCATTTGCTTACAGTCCTGTCCACTTAAGCTGCTATATGGTATATGGAGCTCTTGTTCTTAGGTAACCATACAGCAAATGGGTACAACACTTTTGATTACTCCCCACACTTCCTGCCAAAAACCACATGGACACAAAGTCACCATGATTATGCCTTTGAACCAAAGTGCACTGTACTTTTTTTTTTGCTTTTTTTAAAACCACATACATGTTATCTTACCCCATAATTAAAAGCATTTTTTTTTTTTGTAAATGCTCATGTGAGATATGTAAAGGTGTAAGAGGTGAGAGGACAAAGAAATAAGAGGCGTAGAGCTGGACAGGAATTGCCATGCTGGGACTTCACTGGTGGTCCAGTGGGTAAGACTCCACGCTCCCAATGCAGGGGGCCCGGGTTTGATACCAGCTCGGGGAACTAGATCCCAGCAGCTAAGAAGTCTGCATGCCGCAACTAAGAGTCCTGCGTGCCACAGCGAAGATCCTGAGTGCTGCAACTAAGACCCAGTGCGGCCAAGATCAATCAATCAATTTTTAAAAAAAGGAATTACAGTGCTGAGGAAAGAAACAGCAGTGATAGGTAAGCATCAATCCAGAAAATATCTGATATGCTAACTGAGGTAGGGAAAATAGAATGAAAGTGCAACAGTGGGAGAGACTAAATGTATCT